TGTGGGTGTATTGGTCTGCAGCAGCAGCAGCAGACTGTGCCAACTGAAATGCTCTCCAGTTTTCAGTGCCCATTTAGCAACCTGACCTCCCTGCTAACTGTAGCTCTTCTTGAAGAAAATTTCATGTTTAAAATCCATGATCTGACAGTTTAGGTCACTCAGGTTCCTGCTTAGTTCCAAGCTATATCCATGGGCTACATTTGTCTTTTGGAGAAACTGTCCACCCAGCTCTGTTCTCCTACTAAGCTTTTTGCAGTAGTGGCAAAAAAGGCCATGAAAAGCTGAACGAAAAAAAAAAAGGAGGGTGGTTGGAAGAAGGACCTTTTTCCATTTTTAAGAGAGATCACCTCAACCACCAGCCATCCCTTCCTTGTGTAGGCAGGGCTAGGGATGCCAGTGCAGCTGCACTTGGCAGGATTGCTCTGAGAGGATTGCTGACATATGTATGCTGAGATATATATATATATGCTGAGATATATATATATGCTGATTATATATATATATATATATATATGTATATATCAAGGAACAAGCCAATGAAAAAATAAATGAGGAAAGAATTTGTCAGGCAAGGATGCACAGTGTTGCAAATCCTTGCTTGCAAGTTCTTTGTCTCTACATATCAGAGGTGTATATCTCATGTACGTTGGGAGGAAGGTAAGAGAGAGTCTCCTTAGCATGTCTTTAAGAGTAAGAGCATGTTAGATTGTTTTCTGCAGGACTGTTTTGTACTTAAGCACTGCATTATTTTTTCTTAATGTTACTACAGATCTTAATTTTTTCTAATTCATTTTCAGTTTCTACTGCATATAGTCCTCCTGTTCTGTCACCTTTGCCTCTTGCCCTCAGCTGTGAAGTGGTAAGAGCAAGAGCAGACTAGTTCTTGGAAAAGCCAGGGCTTTTATTCTTTCTTATTTATTTATTTAAGGGGGGTCCAGAGGGCTTCTAAGTTTGTGTCAGTTGAAAAATAATAAATGATGTCATTTTCCCAGTTGATCAGGAAGAATTTTTTTTTAACTTTGAAGGAGCTTAGTAAGGCTGGCCTCTGTATCTGGCTGCTCAAATGAAGTTTAGTTTGAACAGGCATCACTGCAGTCCATTCTGTCCTCATTTAAAAAAAAAAAAAAAAAAATTAAAAAGCTGTTATTTCCTGTGCTGCTTTCGTTATGAGGACTGAATACTGAGACAAAGCTGTGTGGCAACATAAAGAATGAAATTACTTTGGGATTATCATCAAGCACAGATGAGTGATGCTGGGCAAATCTGTTGGAAGCTTGAGATGAGGTTTCTGATACAAGGTGTGATGTCTCATCATAGAAGAATGGTCATAAGAGTTGAAGATGCTGTAATGCCTCCTCTATTCTGCTCTGGTGAGACCCCACCTGCAGTGCTGCGTTCAGCTCTGGGGCCCCCAGCACAAGAAAGACACGGACCTGCTTGAGCAGGTCCAGAGGAGGGCCACAGAGATGACGAGGGGGCTGGAGCACCTCCCCTGTGAGGACAGGCTGGGAGAGTTGGGGTTGTTCAGCCTGGAGAAGAGAAGGCTCCGGGGAGACCTTACAGCGGCCTTCCAGTGCTCAAAGGGGGCCTGCAGGAAAGGTGGGGAGGGACTCTTGATCAGGGAGGGTAGTGATAGGACGAGGGGTAGTGGTTTCAAACTGAAAGAGGGGAGATTTAGATTAGATATTAGGAAGAAATTCTTGACTGTGAGGGTGGTGAGACACTGGCACAGGCTGCCCAGAGAAGCTGTGGCTGCCCCCTCCCTGGCAGTGTTCAAGGCCAGGCTGGATGGGGCTTTGATCCTTGTGTAGTGGGAGGTGTCCCTGCCCATGGCAGGGGGGCTGGAACTAGATGATCTGTAAAGTCCCTTCCAACCCAAACCATTCTGTAGTTCTATGATAATGAAAACCAAGTGATGACCCAGAAACAAAAGCCTAATTCTTATTGGAGCCCCTTGATGTTTCTGATCTCTCTTTCATGCAGGCTTCAAGGATCTGGAAGTCCATGGGAGACCTGTTGAGTAATTCCCATAATTAGTTCCATATTTTACTGCTATCTGCTGGACAGCGTCCAGGTCCTCTTCTTACACAATTAGTGATGCAGAAAACTTATTTTAATTATTTATTTTAAAGACAGCTTTTCTGTTCGTTTAAGGGAGTGCCTGAGAGCAGTCATGGGTTCTATCAGTTAAAATCCAGTTACTTGTGGAGGGAGGTCTCTGGACTGCTCCCTCCCTCCATCACAGAGTAGATCGAGGAGATTTTAGAAAGGATGAGAAAAAGAACTTTTGCTTGAGGATAATTTTCCTGCCCCATATCAAGAAGATCTTTTCTTCAGCAAAAAGACGATGATCGCTATGATTTGTTTGTGGTTTTTGAGTTGTGGATATTTTATACTCAGAAATATTATTTGTAACTCAGTGTGGTCGATTGGTGACCCTTTTCTTTGCATTTAGAAGTAGCAAAGTTCTAGCCTCTGTCTCAGCCACGGCCCTAGTGACTGATATTTTGCAAAGCTAGGGCAGGTCCAGCTAGTAGAAGTTAGAGATTCTTCTCTTACTGCCCAAGTCACAACAAAGTGTAGGGATAAGAAAGAGGCAGTGCGTTTGCCATGTTGCCTGAAGAGATCTATACCTCTGTGGCTTAAATAATTGTGGAATGGCTCTGCTATGGATAACCACTCCCCTCCCACCAACAACAGCACAGAGCAGGATCACAGTGAATACCTGAATTCCCTAGTTACTGCTTTCGTGAGCTCTAGAGGAGAAGGAGCACAGAGAATTTACTTTACTGATGGCAGGAATACTACCGTTCTAACTACCGTAATAAATGACTGAAACCAGATTTGAAGTTTTCCCCCAGGCCCTTCTTGGGAAAATAGAAAGGTCCAAGCAAAGAGGTGAAGACCCTTGCATATTTAAGAAAAGAACTGTAATATTATTTTCTAGTATTCTTTTAAATTCCAATCCTGCACAGCTTATGGAACAAATAACTTGTTCGGTGCTATGTAAATTGAACACTGAAAGAAACGGACATGTTCGTTGGGAACTTTCTCTGTTTCCACATTTATACTCCTTTCATGTTTTGGATACAGGAAATCTCAGAGCAGCATATGATGACTTTTCTGCTTGACAGTTTTGCTAAACCCCGACACATAATTCCCGATTTCATGTCCTAGCAGCACCCTGGTGTTGAAACCAGTTTAACAGATGAGCCCCTTGCATACCAGATCATGAAGATGTGCCTGTAAGGCCTCAGGACTTGCACTGTTTTCTGTGTTTCATCGGAGAAGCTTAAAGTAGCCCTTGATAAAGATGCTGTGTTTTACTGGGTAGTTGCTAAACAGTGAATTGCCGGGAAGACAAACGGTCCCCTCCAAAACAAGTTGCTGCTCACCAGCATGGCAGAAAGTTGTTGTATGGAGCCTGTCCGTTTGTTAAAACCAAAGGCATCACTTGAGTCAGGGAGGCAAAAGCAAATACTTCAATTGTTAATATTAAAAATTTTAATTGACTTAGAAATATTTTTTCGTTAGGTAATCCCTTGATTTGGTTTTGAAAGGTTGTCCTAGTGTAGGCTGGAAATGACATTCAGATGCTTTCAGCTCAGGAACACTGCTTCATTCTGTTTCTGTTGCTTATACACATCAAAGAGTAGAAACTGAGGTGTTACGAAGATTTTATAAAACTTCCCACATGCTCCACAACTTGCAGCCCTTTTATAGGGCTCCAACAGACTTTACCCAATCTTAGTACCATTTCTTTCCTTTTTGCAGAAATACAGGTAATTTTGGGGTGGCATTACTGGCTTCGCAAAGGAAAGAGGTTTTTTTATTTGTATATAATCTCTACTTGATTTTAGGTGTCTACATTTTAAAGAAGAATCTGTACTGGCAGCCTTTTATGGTGAAAATCCATTGCAATCGCTTTGTGGACCTTGATATAAAAATAATTAAGAATATACGTTTAGTTGAAATTTCTCTTTCTTTGATTTATAAGATCCCTGTCTGTGGCACCACGAATGCTTGTGAGTATTTGAGTTTGTTATTATTCGGTAGAATTAGTGCTGTAGTAGCAGCAATTGCTGTGGTTTTCCTGGAAACATAGTTAAGTCAATCTGTAACATAGGAAGGAAGATTTAAATGATCTGGGGGACTGTTTCAATTGGAGGAAACTTCCGTGGGTCACTTTTGCTGCCAGTGGCTGTTTGGCCTGATCCTGCACTGTTCTGTAAAGTGGCTGAAGCATCACCATATTGCATCTGAGACCTCTGCTATTCAAACAGCAGGTATTTTCAGATAAGTGCAGATAAATTTTCCTATTCACTGAGAGAAGTAATGCAAAACTGAATGTCAGTTTTGACTTATTATATTCCTGGAGGATAGTGTGCATGGGTGCTTTTCTTATGAGGCTGTCTATGCTGCAGAGAGATTTCATTTTCAGCAGGGAACATATTATGCAGCTTATTTGATTGCAAATTTGTTTGAACAGCTTTCAGCTTTATATTTCCCAGTTAGGTAATGTAGCTTTAGATACTAATTGCATAATTGGCTTGATATGAGTCACACAGATTTAAGGTACAGTGCACCTGGTCTGACTGCTTGTTAGCTTTAAGTGGCTTTATACAATAGCTGCCCTACAACTGAATTTAACTCTTCCATTTATTGCGTTATCTTCCAAATAATTTTTGTCTGAGAAAGAAGGATTTTCTTGGTACTCAAGGAATGGCCGTCTTCATTCCTGAAGTTTTGATGCTGGAGTATGCATGTTTTCTGGATTGGTGTAAGTTCTAACTAGTACACCAATGCGAAGAAATAAAGTGATTTTTAAAACTCAAAAATGAGCGCATGGCACAGAGACCATCTTCTGTACCTGTTTCTTGTGGTTTTGTTTTCCTTTAGAGCATGGTGGAAGGGATCATTTCCCCAAAACAGTCACAGTCTGCTTTGAAAATAGTGAGCTTCACACCTAAGATTCCTTCTTTCATCCCTCCATTTCACAGGCCTAAAAGATGCTACAGGCTCTGAGAGTGATGGTGGTGACTCTTGCAGCACAAAATCGGAAGGAGCCAATGGAGGCACAACAATCCAACCCAAAAAGGTCAAGGGTGTTGGCTTTGGAGATATCTTCAAAGACAAACCTATAAAGCTACGACCAAGGTCAATAGAAGTTGAAAATGACTTTGTCCCAGTAGATAAGGTACGTATGATTTCTTATTTTTTTTCTTGGTGTTGGTTTAAAGAATTTTCATCTTGTGATAGGTTGACCCTGGCGCTCTATCACCTCCCTCCTCAGCTGGACCAGGGAAAAAAAATAGAACAACAGGCTCGTGGGTCAAGATAAGGACAGGGAGGTTGCTCAGCAATTGCCATCACAAGCAAAACAGACTTGACTTGGGCAAATTAGTTTAATTTACTATTAATCAAATCAGAAAAGGGTAATGAGAAATAAAACCAAATCTTAAAAACACCTTCCCCCCACACCTCCCTTCTTCCCAGGCTCAACTTTACTCCTGATTTCCTCTGCCTCCTCCCCCCATAGCAGGGGATAGGGAATGGGTGTTACAGTCATCACATGTTGTTTCTGCTGCTCCTTCCTCCTCAGGGGGAAGACTCCTCATCGTCACGCTCGTCCCCTGCTCCAATGTGGGATCCCTCTCACAGGAGACAGTGCTCCACAAACTTCTCCAGTGTGAGTCTTTCACATGGGCTACAGTTCTTCAAGAACTGCTCCAGTGTGGGTCTCCTTCATGGGGTTCAGTCCTTCAGGAACAGCCTGCTCCAGTGTGGTCACCCACAGGGTCACAAGTCCTGCCAGGAGCCTGCTCCAGTGTGGACTTCCCACAGGGGCACAGCCTCCTTCAGGCATCCACCTGCTCTGTCGTGGGATCCTCCACAAGGCTGCAGGCAGACATCTGCTCCACTGTGGACACCCACGGGCTGCAGGGGGACAGCCTGCCTCACCATGGTCTTCATCATGAGCCTCAGGGGAATCGCTGCTCTGGCACCTGGAGCATCTCCTCCTCATGCTTCTTCACTGACCTTAGTGTCTGCAGAGTTGGTCCTCTCACATATTCTCACACCTCTCTCTCACTGCAATTGCTCCTGCGCAGTAACTTTTTCCCTTTCTTACCCACGTTATCCCAAAGGCGCTGCCACCGTCGCTGATGGGCTCGGCCTTGGCCAGCGGTGGGTCCATCTCGGAGCCGGTTGGCATTGGCTGTGTCGGACATGAGGGAAGCTTCTAGCAGCTTCTCAAGGGAGCCGCCTCAGTAGCCCTCCCGCTACCAAAACCTTGCCATGCGAATCCAGTACATATCCTAAAGTTCTAAATTCTGTCACTGGCCAAAACTTGAAGCTTTATGGTCATTATTTTGTAATCTTTCTGTAGACAACATTCTGCTTTTTTTTTCTTTTGCTGGACACCAGAAAGTGGATTCCAGTGAGGTTACCTGCCTGCAAGAACTGTTACTTTGCATAGGAATTTATTCCTCTGTTCATACCTCCATCTGTTTAATTGGCCTTTTTATTTTTCTAAGAAAATGCTACTTTAGAGAACAAGAATGGAGAGGCTTTTCAGGTTTTCAGTTGCTCACCTTATAGTAAAAAAAAAAATTGCTGATTGTTATGTAAACTAAGAGGGAGATCCTGTCAGTGGGTCATCAGTTTGCTTAAAAAGGTAGCTTTGGTAAATACCTAAATACCTCAGCTGAGTACTGGATTTGTTGATTTGAAGGATGCTTTCAGAAATCACCTAGCTTTGTTTAAAGGAATTAGTAAAAGAGAAAGCGTGTTTTTAATGGGTTCGTTCTATGTGGCATAAAAAGAAAGTCCTGAGATTTAGCACTTGGGGAAAAAATTTACTTTCTGACAAACTGAAACAGACCATCTTTTTAGAAATCGCTCTTTGTTCCGAGGCCTCCAAAACTATCACTAAGTAAATCGGAAATAGAGAGAGACTAGAAAGCAGAATGAGGTGTTTCTAAGAAACTGGAGAAGGCAACCTTTTTATTTAAAAAAAAAAAGGGATTGATCACTCTAAGGTATGTTCATTAGGGAAGCACCAAAAAGTGCATTGGTTCCTGATAAAGTACCAACTAAAGAAAAATCTGTGAAATCCTTCATTTAAGTGAACAGTTAGATTTGCATAGGATTACTGATAGCTGGGCAGTGTTAGAAGGCTTCTACAGCCTGGAGTTCTGATATGAGCATAGTTACATGATGCATTTCTTTGGCTCCATGGTGATGTTTAAGAAGCTGCTCGTATTCCCTGGTGCAGCAGCTTCTCACCTTTTGTGCTTTTCCAGTTGCCTGAAGAACCAGACACTACAGGAATTACATCTTTTGGCCCGCAAAGCTTTTGTTTTTTAACCTAGATCATTTCAGTGACCTGATTTATAGCACAGCACCTATCCCAGCGTCCACCCTGAGTTATAGTGGCGCAGGAGAAGGGGAGATCCTGCAGAGGCATGGTGGAAAGTTCTTGAGTTAGTTTTGCTGAGGGAGATTTGATTAATATTTTACAGGAGACTGCAGATTTGCATTCTGGAGGGTAGTGAAGAGCTGAGATAATCTAAGTGAAGGAAGAACCTAGATTGTATTACTCCTTGACCATTGCTGACTTCTTCAAAGCCTGCATGGTGTACCCTGCTTGCCTTCTGTTTCTGGGTGGGCTTATTAACTCACGTGCGGGGCTTTGTTAACGTGCAGGGCCAGGAACAGCTGAGCTGTATTCCGGTGGCACCTCATCAAAGAACCCTAGGATACAAGATAGGGACATGTTGGGCCTGGTGGTGGTCACTGAGTGCTAGCTAATGAACCTCCCTCCTGCCAGATTTGGGAATGTGGTAGAGAGCAGTAAAGTCAGCTTTGCGTGGAGCCACAGTGATGTCTTTCCACAGCGCAGTTTATTTGTGACCCTGACAACCTGACAGTGTTTAAGGTGGGATTGGGCTTTATGAAAGCTTTGTAAGAATCTGAAATAGAATTGTACTAGAACATGAACTTGGTTAATAGAAGGTTTCATCTCTTTTTTTTTACCGTATTTCGGAAGGTGTTTGTTTTTATAATTTGATGGCTGCTTGCAATCTTGTACAAGTCTTTCCTTACAAGTCCTGTGCAAGGAAAATTGCTTTGTATATAGGAAGCATCTGATAGCAGATGCTGTCTCATGCTTAAACTCATGCATAGCTGTACTTTTTTTTTTTTTTGGTAACTCAGGGCATAAAAAATCCTCTTGCATCAGGAAATGTGTATTTTAATAGTGCAGTTCTACAGGAGGTAAATTTTAAATTATTAATTTCCTGCATCTAGGTATGTAAAAGAAATATGTGGTGCAGGAAGAAAATCATCTTAGACAAACACACTATTATAATTTTCATTATGATAGTATTTATAATTGATGTGTAACATAAGCGTTCACTTGTAAGGTGATGCATATGTAGGCACTGACCAGAATTCAAGTGTTCCACAAAATTCAGTTCTCCCAAGTCTGATGTAGGCAGATTAGTATTTACAAATGATAAGTCCCTGTTAATGCCACATGAAGAATTTCTTGTGTCTGTAGTTTACTATAATTGTACCTATCTCTACAGTAGTGATTGTAAATGGAAACTGCTTAAAATAAATTATGTATCCCTTGAACTCTGGAGTCCCTTTTTTTAATATGAAGTGTTCACAAAGTGCTTATGAAGTGGCCTTCGTTCCTTGAAGGGAAGTCTTACTCTACTTGATAATAATAAGAAGTTTTACCTTTATCTCAAAGAACAAATATTAGTGCAGCATAAGTCAATAGGTTTGTTACCCAGCCAAAACCTGAATATAGCTTTTTCAAAAAATTTCAAAAATTTTCCATCCTACCCGCAGGCCTGCCCTCCTATGTCTTCAGATTTCTCCTAAAGTTGGCATAGTTGGTGGAAAATAGTGGCTTCATTTTTGTAAACACAATCCATTATTTCTGTTTCAAGTGTGTAGGTAACTAAAAGCAACACTTCTTTGCTGCTGTTGCTTTTTTCCTGTCTAGGGTTAGGGTGGTTAACTTTTGGGCACTGCCATTGAGAGGCTTCAGCGCTGTGGTCTTTGCCTACTCTTAGCACCAAAATGTGATTCACTGTGATGTGACATTCAGCTGCAACTGCAGAAAATTATCCTCCCCAAATACGTCTCTCCTGGCTGCAAGAAATTCCTCCCTCGTCATTGCGATGTTTTTTGCCATTTAATGCTGGCTCAGAGCGAGAGAATCCTGCATTAAATTTGCCTTTCCAAGCAAGGTCAGATTTAACTTGAGAGCTCTGCGCACTGGATCAAAAGTGTTGCAATGTATGATGCAGAGTGCCAGATTGGTAGAAATTTTTTTCTAGCAATGTAATTTCTAAACCGATCTTTCCCGTGGTATGTGCCTTGCTCATGTACAAGTAGCCTCAGTTTTTCAATGACTTGTAAACTTTTGAAGAGGCAGAAACAATGCTTTCCTCAATTCTTTCCTTTTGTTTTTTTTTAATTATTTCTGAAGTTTGGAGACCGTGAAACGATTTCTGTTCCTTGTTGTTGACACAGTTATTCGTTAAACATTTTATATATTGCTGTAATGATATGGTTACCTTTTTGATTTAAAATATTTCCCAACAACTACTGATTTTTTTAAAAGCATTAATAAAATACTGTGAGTATTTTATCATGTGGGATTATTTAGAACAAGATAATTGATGTGGAAAATGTCAGTCCTATTTACAGAAGAATCAACAGGGTCTCATTTTATTGGCACTAACCACGTTGTGTTCTAATGTGTTTTCAGTTTTATGAATCATAAGTTTAGATGATATTTCATGCAGAGGTGATATGAATTATTGGCGTGTTAAGAAGGCTTTTACACAAATATTGGCAGGATTATAAAGGCAGAAAGGATTGCTGCCAGTTGAGCAGAAGCAGCTGCCATTAGGCTCTCCTGTAAATCACCAGGCAGTTCGATGTGCTCCAAGTGTTAGCCCAGTGGTAACAATGTAGGATATAGTGGCCTTTGTCTTTTAAGGTGGTCAATAAACTTTCTAACTGAAGGCAAAGACTGGTAAATTGTGTGAAACCCCATTGGTTTTATTGGTGTACAGAATCCATTGCTTTGCTGTTCTTTGTTCTAAAAATCACAGAAGCAGGTTGTCCTAGGGAAATTAATGATGCAGTTGTTGGAGTTTAATTTGAGCAGTG